GCTGCGCGCAGTACCCGGCGGCGCTGCGCCGCGCACACCGCATCGAGCCCTTCCCGCTCCGCCTGCTCGTCAACCCCGCGCTCCGTGTCCTCGACACCCGCCTCGTCACCGCCCCCGAGGGCTGCGCCAGCATCCACGGCTTCTCCGCCTACGTCCCGCGGCACTGGGCCGTCCACGTCTCCGGTACGGACCGACCCTCCCTGCACCGGGGTACTGCCCTGCCCTGTCCCGGGTGGGACCCCGCATCTGCCACTTCCACCCACCACAGGCCCCCATTCTGTCACATGTCCCCCCACACTCTCACGGGTCCCCCTTTGTTCCATGGATCCCCCTTGGGGATATACCCCACTCTCACATGGTCCCCCCATTCCCACACAATCTCCCCATTCTCTCATGGGTCCCTCCAATTTCACACAAGTCCCCTACTCTCACACGAGTTCCCCTTTTTGGCCCCCCAATCACACCCCCCCCAGTCCCTCCAGCTCCCCAACAAGTTCCCCTGGCAGCAGGTGTGGACGAGCTCGGGGTGCCGGTGAGCTGGGAGGCCATGGGCTGGGCTGCCCGCATCATACAGCACGAGATGGACCACCTGGACGGGATCCTCTACATTGACCGCATGGACCCCCGCACCTTCACCAACGTGGGCTGGATGGAACTCATGGACTGACCCTACTGTGCCCACCCCCAGCTGCCCCCTGTGTGCCCGAGGCCCCTCTGTGCAGTGGGCCCTCTCTAACCCTGGAGAAAGAAACAGCACGGAGCCACAGACCAGGGGCTCCCACTCAGGTTTATTGCAGCCAATACAGACCTGTGGCCTCAGTGTGGCTCTGGCCCTTCCTGCCCACCAGCACCCTAGGCTCATGGTGGGGGGCAACTGGGGGGTCCAGCCCATGCTCCCCTGGGCACTGGAAATCACTTCATGGGTCTAGGAACAGCCTGCTGCCATGGCCGTGCTGGGGAAAGGTGAGGGAATCTCTCCCTCTGGGGCTTCTTTGGGGCACATGGGCACAGCATGGGTGGGGCTAGGGGGTCAGTGGGGCTGAGGGGAGCCCTTGGGGACATGGGTGGCTGGCTCGGTGTTATTGGCTGGTGGGCTGCTCCAAACAGCCCCTGCTGTAGGCACAAATCCCTGTCTAGGATGGCTGGAGCATGGGGAGCCCCACACACCCCTGGGGACAGGCAGAGACCTTGGCCCTGGGGCAGTGCATTTTGGGGGTGGGGGGCTGGGCTGGGACCCTAGTGTGGGCAGAGCCTTGGGGAGCATCTGGGTGCTGGCTGAAGCTTTTGGATTGTTTTTATTTTCATATAAACGAGACGAAACCCAAAGCAGCATTAATTTAAAAAATAAAAAAGAGCAAGAAGAAGAGTAGAGCGCAGCCAGAGGGGCACCCAGCTGCCCAGGCCATGCTCAGACCCCCACCCCGTAGTGTGAGCCCCCCGGGCTGTGTCCCTGCGCCCGCTGGGTGCTGCAGTGCGATGGGAGGGAGTGAGCGAAGATGAGTCGGTTTGGCACGCCCGGGGAGGGGGGGCAGAGCAGGACCCATGGCCGCCCCAACCCCACACCCCCCCATGCCCCCCTCAACCTTCCTGTCCAAAGTCCTCTGTGAATTTCTTCACCTTGAGGAGATCCTCGGCATTGACAGTGGGGCGGGTGGTGGCCAGTGAGCGCAGCATGTCCGACTGCAACACAGGTAGGGGGGCACACAGGTCAGACCAGGGGCACGGGTAGGGACTCCCCCGCCATGGCAGTGGGGCAGCTCTGCCCACGCTGGCACCTTTGCCTCATGGCAGCAGCACTGGCTCTGCGGGTGGGAGCTGCCTGGAGGACCCAAGGCCCTTTCCTGGTACCCAGCTCTCCTTGGGGAGCTCAGCACCACAAGGGGGTAGACTGGGGGGCTGTGCCCACTGCCAGAAGCCACAGCACTGCCTAGCCCTTGTCCTGGAGGAGGAACAGGGAACTGGTTGGGCCTGAGCTACAGCACTGTTGTGCCAGGCTGGGCAGGTGCCCAGCCCTGCATCCCAGAGCTGACACTCACCATGCAGACAATGGGCTCCATCAGCTTGTCACTGGGCACCTCCATCCAGGTCATCTCGGTGGCCCCAGGGTCACCGGGCGAGCACGGCGTCAGGAGATCATCCACGATGACGCCGGGGGTGGTGCGGGAGGGGCCGCGGACCTGCACAGAGCCACAGGCAGTTGTGACAGTGCTCAGGGCAGGACAGCAGCCGCGGGGCCCACCCCACCCTGGGGACCCCCCCGGAGCAGAGCAGCCCTGTTCACCTTCTTGAAGTGCGTGGCCGACTGCACCTTGCGCACGGGCTGCATGAGGGCGTCCCGCACGATGATGCTGATGTCGGCCCCCGAGTAGCCATCGGTCTTGCGGGCGAGCTCCAGGATGTCGGCGTCCTTCAGGGAGTGCGGGGTGTTGCCCAGGTGCAGCCGGAACATCTGGGCCCGCGCTGCCTCCTCGGGCAGTGGGATGTAGATTCGCTTCTCAAACCTGGGGGGGGGGGGGTTGTGAGCCCCACTGTGAGCCCATGCCAGCCCTGCCAGGAGCTTGGGGGCTGGGAGCTGCATGTCCTCCTCACCTTCTCCTGATGGCTGAGTCCAGCACCCAGGGGATGTTGGTGGCACCCAGCACCAGGATCCCGTCGCTGCTGTTCCCCACACCTGCAGGCAGATGACTCAGACTAATCCCCAAGGGTTCTCTGAATCCCCAGCTTCTAGTAGCCCCATCTTGCTACCCCCACCACCCTCCCAGGACCCCCATCCCGGGACTCCACCCACCCTGCATCTGCACCAAGAACTCGGTCTTGATGCGCCGGGCTGCCTCGCTCTCGTTCTCGTTGCGGGAGCCACACAGCGAGTCCACCTCATCGATGAAGATGATAGAGGGCTTGTGCTGCCTTGCCAGCTCAAACAGGTTCTTCACCAGCCTGGGAACAAAGCAGGGGATGGGTCCCCACTCAGGAACCCTCCCCAGCGTCCAGCACCCATGGCAGCCCCAGGGTGAGGAGCCCCATGTTCCTCCTGCCCCAAAAACCCTGCACTGGCAGTGAGGCACAGCCCCTCAAGGGGCTCTGCTCTCCCCTGGGAATCTGCTCAGGATTAAAAGTAAGTATAAATATAGGATATTAGAAATTAATTGTGTAGAGCAAAGTTTAATTGTAACTTGGTCACGGCTTGGCAGGGGTGGCCCCTGCCCAATGTTTAGTGTAGGTGAACTGTACATAGATGGCTGAGCAGGGGAGGAAACAGACAGATGGGAAACTTTCAGATATGGCTGAGACCCTGGAGGGCCCCAAGACTGCCCCAAGCTAGAGGATGAGAATGGAGAAAGAGTCCAATGATGTCTTAGAAGACCCCAGCCCACAAATCGCTGTTGGACTGAGAGGTGTGTGAAGATGGGGGGCACAGGCTGTGAGGGGATAGAGACCCCTCAAATAGGACTGCTTTGTTCGGAGTTTGCCTCTGGAGGAACCAGCTCCCAAAACTTCTTAAACAGCCCTGTTACTGGGGTTCACTGATGCTGATGGTTCCTGCCCCAGCCCAGACCAGCCTGGAGCCAGCCTCAGCCCCACGTCCCTGCTGCCAACTTACTTCTCGCTCTCCCCCAGCCACTTAGACATCAGGTCAGAGGATGACACGGAGAAGAAGGTGGAGTTGTTGGCCTCGGTGGCCACAGCCTTGGCCAGGTAGGACTTGCCAGTGCCGGGCGGCCCAAAGAGGAGGATCCCGCGCCAGGGCGTGCGCTTCCCTGCAGCAGAGCCTGGCCTCAGGACACCCCATCCCCGCACCTGGATCCACACTGGGATCACCTGGGGGGGGGTGTCAGGTCCTGCGTGGCCCCTCCCCACTGCCACAGCCTCACCTGTGAACAGGTGTGGGAACTTGATGGGCAGGATCACAGCCTCCTTCAGGGCTTCCTTGGCTCCCTCCAGTCCGGCCACGTCACTCCACCGCACGTTGGGCTTCTCCATCATGATGGCACCTGTGAGGGGGCAGCTCTGCTCACACAGGCACCCAG